ACATAGTAAAATATTTGAAAAATCATTCACAAGACTCGCAAACGAATATTGCCTGACGTTTAGGGAGGCCCAAACTAAGTCGCATTGCAAGCATGGAGTCCAAGTCATGACTTCCTCATCTGCCCCAAAGGTTTTATTGCAAAAAGCGCAGACGGTATCCTTAGTAGGAGGAATTTCTGCCCAACATTTCTCGTCTGAACCGGGTAATATCAAACTTTTATGCGACTCGCTTGATGCACTTTTCCTAGTCTGCTTTAACCGTTTTATTTTCCCAGCTACTTTACCCGGCATTAATGCCCGCATCACGGTTTTCTTCTTTTTGCGGTTTCAGCATTTTTGATGCTTACTTCCAACGCTGCCTTATATGGTTATGTTGTAAGTATTGTCGCGCCTGAACGCTTACCTCTCGAGCTAGTTTTCTGTATCAGCTTAGGTGGAGGTGAGATCTCCCATGGCGTGATTAAGTTCTGCGTGGCTACTTTACTTGTGCTAGCGATCGGCTCTTCTAAATCACTTTCATCTCTGATTTGTTTTTGATGAATAAAATCGCTTTCCTGAAACTTGTTTTTATCAAATGGATGAATCCCAGTACATTTGAACCCATTAATCGCTATTTGCGCAGTTTGAACTTTAAGATAAGCTTTTGCAAAGAGTTCTACAACTTCGAATTGTATCACCTTTCGGCCTTCTTCACGCATAAATAGTCTTATTTTCTCATTATAGTAAGTTTTAAGAGGTCCCATAAAGGATTTGTCCGAAGGTTGCATTTTATGCGTACAATGGGGTGGATAAAATCATAACGCCATTTTCACGAGCTTTATCAAAAACCTCAATATTTCTTGTATGGCTATAGTGACCATCTAAGATCAAAGAACTGGGTTCTCCTTAGAAGGGTGTGTAAACCGCATAAAATGGTCAAACACATTGTAAATATTGGAATTTGTATACATCCGGATATGTGACAGGCAGAATCGGAGCCAGGTGGAGCTTGTTTCATTAAAAGCGGAGAAGGTTTTTTTCTTGGAAAAATGAAGTACGGGGGAACAAAGGCACCATATGCACTCATGCAGCTTACAACTGTTATGAGAGATCCTCTCTCAGCTGATGTCATGCAGTAAACTGTAAAACTTGTTTACGTTCTCCTCATTGAAGCCTTTCATTCTGTCTAATGAAGTTCCAATAGCACTGCGTATGCTTACTTCAGTCTTTCTCTTTTAAGAAATGCGCGCAACCAATCTCTTCCAGCACATTCCTTCGTCATTGAAAATGGATTCACAATATTGTTGCGTTTTGCTATTTAAAAAGCAAGCGAGCGGACATCGCTAAAAGTAAGCCCCCAAAATTTTGCTTCCATATCTTTTAAATATCTTACCAGCTCCAATTCGACGTCTCTGCTAAAGACCGGTCTCCGGCCTAATAGCGTAGCTAAAACATTATTTTTCATCACTACGAGGAGCTGTTTGCAAAGTTGCAAATGGAACACAGTACGTTTTCGATGCTAACAATATTCCCATTTTTTCACCTCTAACAGCTTGGATTGCTTTTTTCATGTTTTCCGCATTCCACTTACGAATTTCCCCCTTTTTCGGAATGACCGAAGGTTTTAATTTATGTTATTACTTCATTGTTTTTATTAAATACGTTATTTATTTAATATAATATAATGTGATATACTATATCACATTGAACAACTATTACCATATCACATTACCCAAACTAGAGCTTTTATAAATTAAAGACTTTTTCATAATAATTAATTACTTAAAAATATATAAATACTTGAAAAGTTGTTAAATATATTTACCAATAACCAAATTAAAATATAAGAAGTTAAAAATCTACACAAATTTTGGAATTATCTTCTTTTGAAAAGCACACTAAATTATTGACGACTGTGAAGCTGAAAATGTTTTTGCACACTGATGGTAATCTAAGCGTTGTATGTCATCCGCTGCTTTGCAGTAACACTTTTTTACCGTTGCCATATGACTCATGAAAATATTCTTGAGCAGACGTGCATAGTTTAGAAAATACGCTGGTATATCACTTTACCAACCCATATCAAAATACCCTAAATTACTCTATGAGTCGCCGCTGATTTATGGCTTTTGAGATATTTGCATTGAAAGTTCAAAAATTCTTAAATATTAATATTTATTCTTAATTATTAAAGCGTGTTTCTACCATTTATAATGAATTTTATAATTACATTTTTAACTTTTATATCCACTAACACTTCACTAAGTCGTTTCTAACCATTTATTTTGTATTAAAAAGTGCAAAAATAACTTTTGGTCAACATTTAACTATTGTCCATTTATTTTTATTTATACAACAACAAAAGGGTTGCATTCTAACTAATAATATGTGCTACCTTACGTTCATATTACAGAATTGCAGAAGAACCCCAATCATAGGAAATATATAACACATTAATTTTCCGCATAGAAAAAATAACCCTCGGTCGGATCAACACCTGGGCGTGCTCAGTTCTTTTGCGTTGAACTCCTTTTTGTGTTGGAGGCCTACGGCCGCACTTCAAANCCTCGGTCGGATCAACACCTGGGCGTGCTCAGTTCTTTTGCGTTGAACTCCTTTTTGTGTTGGAGGCCTACGGCCGCACTTCAAAAAATAACCCTTGGTAGGACCAACACTTGGGTGTGCTCAGTTTTTTTTTGCGTTGAACTCCGTTTTGCCCGATCCCATACCGGGATTTATCAAGATAATAAGAATTCTGAAAAAATTTACATTACTCATCACACGATAATGAATTTAGTTATGACGTCATAATTTTAAAGTTATTT